AGGTTAACAAACGTGATATGATATGATATGATATTTTTTCGTTAGATGGTCAAATTAAAACGATGCAGTGAAAAGCGCATTTCCTCCGAACCTAGAATATAAATTATAGAATTTAAAACTCAAAAGAAGTTGAATTTTGGTAAGCATCTCAAATCTACAAGTGGCTATTGAAATAAAAATTTGTTTTTTCTCTTGGTTTATATTAGTTTTTTTTTTTGCAATACCATAGATGTTATTACTACGCTGTGATAGCGTTATCTGTTCTCAAATATTGGGCATTATCAACTTTTTTTAATAAAAAATTAGATGTAGTCACTTATCAACATTGTTAAAGACTAAAAAAGTACATTAATTACACGATTCAAGTGACTTTTTGAAAAAATTATCCATTCCTAATTGTCGAGATTGTCATCAAAATATTAGTTTTCTTTTTTAGTAGGTTGTGAAATTTGACAAATCGGACAATCTACCTATCTAACATAACGTTATATGCATCTTTTATGTCGTTACTTGATGCTGATCTGGCATGCGGAAAGTGTCACTTTACCAAATCAGTTTCTACGGCTCCAAGCAAATTCGGACATTTCCGGCAAGTTTGCTAAACTTTTTAGTCACTCTTATATTAATCACTAGCTCCGCTACCCTCCGCTCGTGCCAAATAAACTCGTAACTCAAATGCCGCATAATATACTATAATGATTTTGACATATCCCTAAATATTATTGTTTCCAAGGTCAACTCATCATTCATAAGCAATTACTATTTTAATGACCTAACAAATACTACTTTATTTCAGCTAAACGACTGATTCTTTTTGACGTATTTATTGATTTTTTTTAAATCTTAATCTTAATTTATTTTTACCAGGAAATGGTAATCAATTAATCAACAGTGTCAGTAAATTATCCTATTTGAAGACATTTTAATAGAATGGTATTTAATCACTTAGTAAATGTTTGACGAGTTCATCGTTATACAGTGCCTAGAAATAATAGAAATAATCCACGCATTAGGGACAAAACAAAACTCATCAGTGTTCTTGCCTATGTCCACATTAAACAACATTTAAGCTTTACAAGAATAAAATTAAGCTATAAAGATCACCATGTAGACTCCATACTAGATTACTGCAATTGGCTAAATTCTATGGTAGATGAAGATTAATTTTTTTAATTGCGGTTACTACGAGCCGATGAAGCTACTTCTTCAAGCAATTTAAGAATCAATTTGCATAATTCGCATTATTGGCAGCCAGTGAATCTTTATTGGATGTGTGATGTGGCCTATCGAAATTAATGAAGTGTAAACGTCTGGTGTGGTATTTTGGGTAATGAAATTATAGAATTATTTTTCTATAATGGTAAGTTAAAGAACACTTTTCTCAAGAAGCTAGAAGTTTTTTAGATTAGACTTACCCAAATTGTTGGATAGGAAGGAGCCAATTTTTTGCCGTGACCTGCCATATCTCCAGATCTTTCTCTCCTGAACTTTTATCTTAGAGGTAGGCTAAAAGATACTGTATATCAAACTCGTCCTATTAGCCCTGAAAATATGATTGATCGTATCCGAAATACTGTAGCCAACCTTGAGCTAAAATTAGTATAATCGTATTAAATATGTACAATAAATAAATGAAATATACACAATGTTCATAGAAAATGACTGGAGGCACACATTTAGAAAGACATTTGATTTTCGTTTGTTGTGTTTCATTGTTTTATTGTGTAGTTTCCATAATGTTCGGATAGAGTTATTAATTTATAATTTATAGGTTTCCACTGGGTTGTAAGGCTCTTGTCTTTTTGTATTTTCAGCAAACTCCAGCTGTCGACAGGACAATCCCTTTATGCATAGCACCTTAGATATCAACTTAATTTTTTGAACTTAACATCAGTTTTTTAAATCTATTTTATAATTCTTCGTCAGATTTCACGTATCATTCATATAGCAAACTAACCAAAACTATTTGCAGCCATACTCTTTATAAGCAAAAAATACAAGACAGAAATTTAATGAAATGAAGTAGCTAGTGTCACTAAAGTTCTTAAATTGTCAGTAACGAAAGTGAATATCTATATAAAACTCAGGGAATTGAAAATGACAAAACGAGAACTCAAGAAGATGTTCGTAATTTGTTTAACACTCGTTCAGAAAAATCTATTACAAGATCTGCAGTAAGTAAAATTGAGAGAAAATGTGAAGAAAATAATTTGATTAAGTGTTGGAAATGCTCGCTGCTTACGTGAACATTTCAAAAATTAAATGTCAGTTTTAATTCTTATAAAAAGTAAGGGATAGGTATAGTATAGGTACATATGAATGATGGATGAAAACATTTTCTGTACATTTTCTGTTTACAGCATTAAATGCGCAAGTAAAGATTATGATATGATTTGTTTCGTATAACACATGTTTATTATCACAGCTATGATAAAAGCAGAATTCAAAGGATACTTCAAATATACTGCAACAGGTACTTGAGCGTTTATAATCTCCGAGTGTTTAAGAATCCAATATAACTTGGTACCAAAGTCATAATAGAGATAAAATTTGAAATTTCAATTTACCATTCTACAGCTTCTATTCTTCACCACTACAAATATTTCAAAAATCGAAACCAACTTTGCTATTATATGGCGGAATACTTACGATAAATTCGGGTTTCAAGCTATCAACAACTAAAAACAGGGGTGACGTATATTAGTTAACGAACTACTAAGATGCAGCAAATAAAATTAATAGCAATTGGCTTCATATATCCTAACGCAATCCACATAGGCTGATAAAGAACTATATCAAATTTCGATACTAATACATGACCAAAAACTCGAGGTCCTTGTCGAGTATATCGGTATATTTAATCATTGTGACTGCCTAAAAACTATTTTAATAACTAATGCTATGCTTCCAATCGACGTCATTATTATTACCTGAGAAATTAGATGCAGTAGATAACAGATTTTACTTGATCAAGCGTAGTAAGCAGCCATTGATCCCTCTTCAGAGCGTCATTCAAGTTGTCAACCATCCTAAACAACTCCCCCATTGTGTACTACATGTCAGGAGTGATGCTCTGTTTAATAATGTATATATAAATATTAAGCAATAAGGTAGATAGAGGAGAACCTCTACTTTTATAATAAGGATTCACCACAGAAGAAGAGGATATGTCCTTAATGATAAATTTTCTATTTATTTACAGGTTCTTCTCCAGATCTGCTGTTGCTTTTTCAATGCCATAATTAGTAATAATACGATAAGCTTATATTAACATTATCATATGCAGCAGTAATATCCGATGTAACTATTATCGAATATTTAACATGAATTTCAATGTTTTGCATACACAGGAAGCTACATCGTTAAGAAAATACGATGATGAGACGTTGCCATCTCAACTTAGCTTCAAAGTTAGAACCACCAGAAGAGTTTTTCAAATACCTCTTTTTTTCATTGTTAAAGAAGAAGCCAGTATATACTTTATAGGGAGTGTTTAAGTAATAGATTGATATTCAGGGGGATATGCAAGTATGGCCAAGAAATCCAAAGTAAAAAATAAACGAAAATTATTCCTGGGAGACGAAGAGGTGCCGAAAGACGAGGACGTAGGTCACTCAAGGAGGTCTCGAAAAACTGATTAATTTTAAGGAAAATGCACGTTCTGACAACAGTAGGATCTGAATTATCACCTTTTTTAGGTGAATTAGTTAGGAAAGGAAAATTATGGGTAGGCAATTATTTGCATTATTTTAACTGTGAAAAAGAACTCGGGTGAGCTTTATCTTTTCTCGACATCGTAGTAGTCAGTCCAACCAAAGCGTTGCTCAGCAGTGGAAGTTTCTCTATAGCTTAAAACTTAATCACAGAATCACTAGAACTTTGAACTGTAATGATTGTACTGCAGTTCACATGAAACAGGTCACAGACATCCAAATTTGGTGAACAGGTATTAGCACACAAATATGAAAGAGACCAAATCAGTTTTCGCTACTCATCTTTGACGATATTCGACATGAGTGCCCAAAGAATAAAAAACCTCATCTTCTTGAGAAATTTCAATTTGCCAAAGCTAAAGAGAGTTGGGTCCATGAGCCATTTTCAATTTTGAGCATGCATAAATTCTTGAATAACTTCAACCGTAGGTCTCCGGTTTGACCCTTTTTAAGTTTTCTACATAATCCATGATTTTATGAAATCAGGTCTCTTCGAATATGGGCCATATGTTTTATGTCTGTGTTGGGAGTTATTTTTGTCACATTTGCTCTTTCCATTCATCAAAGATAATGCAGTTTTCCCAGCATTTATTATATAAATGTAAAAGTCTTAAGTGTAGTATAAGTCCACAGTATTATCAAAGTTCAAAATCGATACCATCGATACCAGTCGCGTTTCTTGTTTTTGTATTCCTACAGTTCTGTTAAATCCATATCGTTAAAAGCTCTTACGTCTTCTTCTCGTATTGTTCCACTTGTTGTTCCACTGTACCACAGCTGCTGGTAATGATTCGTCCACTTTTTTTGTCTATATAGTTTACATGTATTCTACCATTTTGCTGGTTGTTTCATGATCTGCATTACCTTATACGCCAAGTTTTGTCATCCATGCATATCATGTTCGATGTGATTGGTTTGTCTAGTAATTTCCTGACGACCTTTTGGTTTTTCTCTCATTTCTTCTTCTATTTTATCTGAGTATGTCGCTACTTTTGCTACTGGATGGTAAACTTTGATACTTTGATACGTGAGTCCGACAAAAATGAGCAATGGATCAATTTTTTTTAAATTGCAACATGCATTTTCTTAGAGTAAGAAGGATTTTTCTTTTTCTTTGAAGGCTAACAACGTGTACCACATAATAACGAGAGTTGTGCGGTTTGGATTTTGCTCTGTGTTGAAATTTGTACCCTGCCTCCTGTCTTCTTCATGTCATCGATAAGGTAATATTAACAAAAGCTCAGATATATTTGTATAACTTTATTTAAAAAATATACATTTATGCTTTCTTATGTTACGTAATATACAACAATTTTTATACACAATATTGCACGTTTGAGGCCATTTTTGTAGAATGTTTCTACGCTTTTCCTACATTACTACTCGCGGACATATTTTGACAATATATTACACAGGAATTTAAGAATTAAAAATAATTATCAGAATGTATGGTGGGAAACACTCTAACAATTGACAAGAATGAAAATAATACTAGCTACGTATGGACTATATTGTGGTAACTATCATCGAAAATCCTTAAATAAAAAAATGTGTGGCACCAACAATAAGAAAGTTCAAACTTTTATGTATTTATTTAATATTTGATCATTGTGTCTTTATCGATATCATAAGAGATGTGTGTGCCACTGAAATACGTCAATATTTGCTGAACTGAAGTCACAGGTTTAAAAGAAATTATTAAGGTCATTGGAAATATATACAAAAAAGACTCCCTCTTTAAGGTTCCCTTAAAATTATTTCGGTTTAAAATAACCTTCACTGCCAGAGCTAGAATGGACAAGTGTACCAAAATAGTTGGAGCTGAGAAAAATCTTTAAACGAGTTAGTTTTATGTAACCTGGAGGTACTATCGCGCGCAAACCTAAGGGTATTAAAATGGCTTCCGTAATAATTTGTTAATGCTTCAACGTCGGACGGAAGTACTTACTTATATGTACAACAGAAAGAAATTACCAAGGAAGCTAAGGTTGGAGCCAGTTGAATCTATTTGGAAATGGCCACACCTCTTATTTAGTTAAAAAAACCTGTACCAACTAAGAAAAATCCGAATGAACAAAACAACAAGTGATAGTGGCCACCCATCAACAAATCATTGACAGTTGCTTCCAAATAGCTCGACAACTAACGTCCTCTACAAAATTTCCCGATCCTTATAGTTACTAACATTTCCCGCCAACATTAATCGTTCTGTCGATCTTCTCAAAGCGGACGGTCCGGGAACGAAGAGTCCCGATGGACCGGGCGGGAGTTGACTCACGGAATGGATTTGGTGCAACGCACTGTGGTCCATAATGTCATCGGTAATAGATCTATTTCTAGACCGCTTCTGTTGTTTATGATTGGAGATATTACTATGCGAATAGTAGTGATGCATAATTCCCTGAGGTGTGGGATCCCTTAGTTTCCTGCTGTGAGGAATTGATTGTAGTGAGTCTTCGTAACTACTAAAACAAATATTTTCTTGTTCAGTTACCATTACTTTAAAAAAAATTAAAGTACAAGAAACTAAGAAGCTCGATATAGAGATATAGTTATATATTGACGATTTATTGACGAAACTATTCAAATATAAAAAAAATATTTGTGAAAGTTTGAACCCTTAATATTAATGGGATTAATGAGATGATCTCATTATGCGCCAAACAGCTAAACGATTAAGGCAAAAATATTTTTCTACTCTCGTCTGCAAAATACATAATTACACACCGATCTAGGGTGCAGGAAGCGTAACTTTACCACGTCAGTTTCGTTTTCTTCGGACATTTCCGGGTTTGTGGGCAATCGGATGTTTTGGGATATTTTATCGCACGGTTTGAATTTTGACGTTTGTTAATTCTGACGGTCACATTAGTGAATGTATTTGTGTTGTTTTGCAAAAATGCACCCAAAAACTAATACACAGAAAAATGTTGTGCAATGCAGACAATATAAATACTACGTGCTATAAACTAGAGGTAAAATCTATCTTAGACGATTTTTCTTCCAATTACAGTTTTTTTTTAAATAAATTACTTAATGATCAATTGTAAAAGTTAATTAAACAACATAACGTTTTAAAATTGTGTTTATTCAGTTGTTTATATGACATATCCAATAATACATCTCTCTCTGTCTAACGTACAATGTAAAAAGAGACAACAATAGCAGAAGCGATCGGAACGATAAAAGAATAGGTTTAATGGCAACTCGTAAATATTTTGTTTGTATAGTACAAAATTTAGTAATCCGATAATCCGTTGTTATTTTTAATTTCTTAACTTGTAATTTTTTCGTGATGATCGTAGAAAAAGTATAGTATGCAACACATTTGGTAAACTCTTTATCTCACTCGCTTATTAAGCACTCGCTCCGCTGCGCTCCGTTCACGTCTTAAATATTATTAAGCTCTTTGCATGAAAAAGTAAAAGACATATACAAGCGACATGTACCAGTTCTCAGAGAAACGTAACGAATTCAGCTATTCAACGACGAGAGAAAAAACTCTGTCCTTATCTAACAGCGAAATAAAAGAGTCCAAAGATGTCCAAGAATGAAAATGGAAAAGCTTCTGGACCTGCCAAAACACTTGAACTGATAGCAGATAATGGAGGCAAAAGTCTGGATCCGAAAACCCATACCCCATACAAAGTACGCCTATAGCACTCTAGTCATTGCATGTGGTACAGCTAAGATACCAAATGTGGTCCATATAACGACTCTTTGGATGACAAGTAAATGTCTCCAAAACCAAAACACTAGCCTTCTCGAAAACAAATATGAATGCAAGAAAAAAGATCGATGGATGGGCGCCACACAAAACACAGGAGGTGGTTTAATCGATTGCCAATATAAATACTTCAGGGTACAGGTTCTCGAACCACAATGACCATTGGATCAACAACAAGGAAGGAGCGTAGTAAAAACTAGAACCAACATGTTATCTTTTGCCTCGTTTCGGAAAGCTTATTAATGTTTAAGGCTTGAAATGGAATTTTCAAAATGTGTTCAGTCAAATATCTATTCCTCAATTGTTTAGCCGTTTTAACGCAATAATGGGATCAGGGCAAAAAATTGAATATATTTCCGTTCTTTTTTTGGACATTGGGCATTGTAGCATACTCACTTGCTGCTACCTGCTGAACTCCGACTGCTACTTTGGCCGCATTGACAATTGGTCACGGTAGCATCGACGATGCCCGAATCCTGTCCGCTTGAGTGCAAACTCGTTACTGATTTTTCCATACCTACGGAATTTCTTTGTCTGTCGCGAAATCCATTCAGCCTGGCCCCGTATCTTGGACAAGAGACGTCATGCCGGGAAATAGTGGGGTAACCCAATGACGTATGGGTTAGGTCGTGTGCGCCCATGTCTGGAAAATGCATGGGATCCGTTCCAAATCCCGGAGGATATAATCCGGCTTTCGAGGCTAACGCGTATCCGAGTGGGGATGGGTAATTTTTTATCGACCTGTAAACGATTAAATAATATTAAACAATGCTTTATTTTCGACGGAAAATACATAAAACAATACTAACACCTGTTCCAAAACGAATGTTGTTCATAACAATAAGCGAAAAATGAATTAGTTATACTTTAAACCATCTTTACATTTAGAAGCAACAGCGTAATATTACAAGTGTCAGCTATATAGTTAAAATTAAGACACATTTGATAAATTGGTGATCTGACCATCATACTGGTAGTACTCTTAAAAAAAGTCGACACTGCGTACATTATAACGTGGAACTAAAAATAGGATTCCCTCCAGTAGGAAAGGATAGCTTATAGAATTATTAGCGAGTTTATATGTCCCGCAAGGATCGGTTTTGGGTCCGCTCGTTTTTCTCATTTATGTAAATGATTTTGCACATTTTATTAAGTGTAGACTAACTGCAGACGACACCAGAATTATCTGAATTATGTCTCTAGACAAACTAAACACTAGAAGTACTGTTGCTGAGAAGCGCCGGCGACCTTGGTTTGCGGCCAATGACTTGCTTTTAGTTTCCTCAAATGTTAATATTAGGAAAGACACGAGCGTCACTCTGCTCGGTATCACTATTGATGATTGAATTGGTCATTGGTATTTGGCTTTATTTTCACAAAAAAGCTCTTCTTGGTTTGAACCATAGGGAATCATGCAGGGAACATTTTCCCGTCATTCATTTTACAATTTACTTTCATATACAATAGCCTAATCGAGATTCACTCTAACAAATCTAGTTTTTCTGTTCAGTCTGACAGTCATAACTACGCAACGCGTAATGCAGTTGAATTAACGATTCCCCGTCTTAATAAATCGATGAGATACTTTAAACCTGAACTTTTATAATAAAATACCTCGCAATATAAAACGCCTTGGCAAGAATTCTTTTCGAAGAGCTGACAAGAATCTCCTGACAATAAGCCGTTTTTCAGCCCGAATGAGTACCTAAATTTTAAACTTATGTAACCTCTCTATTTTAACAAATTTGTTTGGTGTGTTTCGTACTTGTATTCATATATTGTATTGTACATTACATGTATTTGTTTATTTTGTTTTGACTTGATACACACACATTTTGAATATTGTTGTTAAATAAATAAACCTAAACCTAAAAGAAACAAGTCTGCGCTGCAAACCGCAGAGCCAAAAGTATACATAGTAATTCCTCTTTAACGTATAATTCGTCGGAATTCTAAGAAATTCCACTAGAATCTTTGTTTTTTCTTTAAAGAATTTTAAAGGAATTACACGGAATTCCACGGAAATGACTACATAATTTCGATCGAATTCTTCGGAATTCCTTTAATTTTTTTTTTCTGGAAAACGTTCCAACCTTTATAAGTGTTTAAATGCATTAATTATTTGGATTAAACACAATACATAATAAACAAAATAAATGTTTGTTTTGGTACTTAAAATGCCAAATGAGTTAATACAATTACAAAATAGTGTATAAATAGTGAAATTCAAATATTACTATCCAGGGTAGTCCGTAATAAAAACCGATATTTTTACAATTTAATTTGGGCAAATATGTGGTGTAACAATGAGCGACATTTTTCTTTGACTATTTTTATGTGGCTTGTCCCAGGGGTGAGAACACAATGTCTGTTGATGTACAATGCAGAGGAATTGAAGAGTATTGCGCGACATTGCGGGAAATTGACGTAGAAAGTATGTGCAATGTTGTTTTTTTGATATACTGAAAAAACTGAAAACAAGCATCTTTTTGTTAAAAGTTTTATTATAGTTTGTCTTGTCAGATGTAACTGAAAATGCTTTTCTTATGTTGAACCAATCATCAACTTTGTCTTTAAATACTGACTCGTTTGGGGTAATGAAAAAGACGAGAAAAATATTTTTGTTTACGTCCGAAAATGCAAAAATTGCAAAGCACGTTCGGCAAAAAAGCATGTAGAATTGGACACATGGGAAACAAATTATAATCTTTTTGACATATTTAAAAACATTAAGTATCAAACTACATATAAGAATAACTTTTTAAAATGTAAAATAACTTGTTCATACCAGATATTTTTTAATGTTAGGCAGTTTGCCCCCTGCCCCCGCTGGACTCTTTTTATCTATTAACAACAAAAGCATTTTAAAAATAAACTTACTTTACCTAAGATGAAACCGGTAGAAGACGAGGCATCACCGAAGGCATTACAAAATGTAAATTATAGTATCTTTGTCAGTATCTGTTGTTTTTTTTATATTCTAACTGAAATGTTTTTATGTAAATAATAGCATTTTTCATAAGTTTTCAAAATATATATTTTTTAATAAAAAGCTTATGTTTATTATGTAAGTCGGGATCATGCCATAATGTGCCTATTTTGCCTCTGAGGAGTGTGTATATGTCGACCCCCTGGAAGCAGAACCAACATGAAATGAAATCAAATGAATGATTTTTAATTTGTTTGTTGTTGTGTGTATTTTTCCATTTGGTCGGCTACAAATACGTTTACACAAAGGTGATGAGTATATGAACTAAAATAAAATTGTTTGTAATTATGACGTCATTTATGGGACATGTAGTCATTATAAGAGCATTTTGAAGAGTTACAGTACATTGTGGGCAATATAAAGCAGTATGGGGGCATTGCAGGGAATTATATGCACTAGGAGGCACTACATAAGAATTTGGTGTACATAAAATGATAATTTTGTTACCCCTCGTTTTTGCAGGATATGCTTAATTATTGAAGTATTGAAAGTGTATGGAATTCGGGGGAGTTTTAAGAAATTTCAAAAGATGTTGGCACAATAAAAAATATTTAATCGTATTGATTACACATACCCAGATAAACCACAATAAAACATTTTAAGAAAATATGAAAATATGAAAAAATATTACTACGAAAATTACAAACGAAATCGCGACCTACGATGTAGTAAAAAACACTCGGATGGCTAACGACAGTGTTTAATGAAGCTGACGTTTTTACCGCGAGCGGGTGATCAGTGCGTAATAGTATATTTTAGAGCAGTGAGTAAAAAAGAATCTTCATACGTTACGCCAGCCAGATGCACGAAAAAAAAAAGGAAGAAACCAAATTTAGTCCGATTTCAAAAGCAATTATTACTTTCACAAATATACAGTCGAAACCGCATTGATAATTAGAGTATCTCGAAACACAAAATGCATTTCGATGCATAAGATCTTTGTAATTCCACTAGAATTCTTCGGAATTACTTCATAGTATACACCATAGTTCCACTGCGGTTTACCCGTCGATTAAATCTACAGTTTTCATTGGCATCTAATACAAGATACGAAACAAAAGTATTGGGATGAAGAATATTAAGATAATAAATGGAACGGTCTAACTCCAATTTGATACTGTTTAATCCAATGAGTCAACTAGCAAAAAAAATTTTTTTTCAACCGACTTTGGAACAATATGTCGATTAGGTACAAAATGACCGTAACCTATTTCCCCGAACCGTATTCAACATTTACACAGCAAAACGATCCTTGGCCTTATTTCTAAATGATTGCCAAATTAAGAGCAGAAAGCAATAAAAGCGTCCATTCTCGCCCCCCTTCTTACCTTCTTTTCATTCTTTTAACACATACGATACAAATCGCCGTCGCGACGGACCCAATAAACACGATGCAGCCCAAAATGATAAAACCAATCTCCATGGAAGATAAAATTACTCGCGGGATGCGTATCTGATATTTGTCAACTGCCGCTCCGCTCGAAAATGCGAGCACTTTGGGTCCTTCCAGCTGCTTTTCAATTTCCCTTTGTTTTCTTATAAGAACCCTGCAAAATAACAATACAATTTTATGTAGTTACGTAACGTCGATATTGTTTGTTATTTATGTCCATAATCGAATTAGGTGAAAGTTAATGGGATTCACTATAGTCCAAAAATAATTAATGCGATAAAATTATGGTTTGCTGTGCTCGTTGGCAACTGTTTGATGCATTTCAGCTAAGAAATTTTCTATCAGGAAGGAGGTGAGCAAATTTAAAGAAATGGTTTCTGACCAGGAATACCAAAATGTAGTAAAATGATAAATGCTGTCGTGCCATTCAATATGGGAATCTAGATCTCTCGCGTTGTCCACTTGTGAAATTTTTCAAAGCAATTTCCTCAAGAAAATTGTAAATTTGGCAGGAATGGAAACGCATTGTCAAATCTTACAAAAACATCCAAACTTGATTGTCTTATTAAATATTGAAAATTGAATATTAAAAACGAAATATATATTATTTACATGAGGCTTTCCTACTTTTTAGCAAAAAACATTGAAAACTGCTCATTAGATTATCATCAAGACATGACAAGTGGATTTAAAAAAAATTGAGTAGAAAATATTTCGCCAGACAGTAAAATATTTTATGATAAAGTTAATACTTTAGCTAAATATGTACCAACAACCAGAAGCAAGAAAGAAGTATTGCAAGAATTCCATAATCAGCATCACCTTTGTTGGAATGCGATAAACAAAACATTTTTAACATAAAAAACTGGTTAGAATTCAGGATAGTATTTTGAAACCATCTTGATTTTTCAAAATGTTATGGACACTTTAAACCCACAACAAATACAAAAAAAAACAGTACGTAAATAATACAAAAAAATACTCACTGCTCAAGTTGATTCATATCTACCACTGTATTGAGCATTGGATCTACTGCGTAAAGATACATGTCCGTGCTAAAAGGAAATACAGACGTTACATAAAAATTGAAATTATAAACAGGATCACGATACGGAATGTTGTGGCAACAATGAATTGTTTGGACCAAATTTTGATTATAATTTAAATGATAATGAAAAGTGATAAAATGCTTCATAGTTGTATTATTATAATTTTTATACCGGCCAAAATGATAACCAAATGATGGTCAAAATGTGACCTGAAATTTCTCCAATACTTAAGAAGTATATGAAAAGCATATCTATTTTAAAGTATCTAAAAGAGGTCGTCCGAGAATTATGAAAGATCTGAAAATGCACCAAAAATAAAACACAGGTTTTAATTAGGAGAATTATTTGGGAAACAAGTCAAAATTTCTAACTTAAGTTACAGTTTCTGAGAAATAAGTCGAAATTTCTGACAAACGTAATAATTTCTGTAAAAAATGTAAGTCTTTCTGAAAAAGAAGAATGCATTTTTGAGAAACACGTCAGAATTTCTTAGGAAAAATAAGAATTTCTAATGAAGTCAGATTTTCTGATTTCAGGGATTCGGACAAACACATAGGCACATTGCGACGTGAGGCGTCAGATATACAGGGTAATTCATGAAGAATGGGCAATCCCTAAACTGGAGGTACTATGGACCAAAATATTATGAATCTCAACTTTTGTTTTTTCAGTATTATTTCCAAAATTGTTAAATATTACTTTTTTATGGTTTCCAGTACCTCTTCATCTTATAAGTATTTATTAAAAAATCAGGAAAAAAAGCTTGAATTTTTTAAATGCAAATAAGCCAAAAACTTACAGACTTAGAGGGCCTTTTTATGAAAAATTGGAAATTTTCCCATGTCCAATGTGTTTTAAACAGAACTTGACAAATAGAAAAAAAGACTCGATGTATCTAAATAATTTGATGAAACTAGTGTCGTCTAAGTGCAATGTCCAAATAAGTTGCAAATTCATTATTGTCATTTCAAAAAAAAAAAAATTAAACCGACAATTTTTATTGTTACATTAAAAAAAAATCAAAATTAATGATTTTTTTTTAATTACTCTGCATATTTAATTTTTTGATGGGCAATGTCCCTTACCAGAGACTTATGTCACAAATTATGACTTATTTTTCAGAAACTCCTACTTATTACGAAATTTGGGCTTATTTTTAAGAAATTCTTACTAATTTCTCAGAAATTCCGATTTATATCAGAACTTCTGACTTGTTTTCAAAAATTTGCCTAATTAACTATAACCTGTATCCATTTTTTGATGGCCTTTCCGCGCTTTCGTAGAAAATTGATTCTAATTTAATAAGAACTTTAAGTAGTTATAACTTGCTTGATTTAATTTTAATAAGAAAAGATTATTATTATGGTATTACTTCTATATTATTATATTACTTAAGATACTTTAGGCTGTACAAGGTAATTGCCACTTGGCAATCACATACTACTTTTAAATTGTACTCGGGAGCTCCTCGAGATTCTTGAGAGTATCGTTTAGTGATATAGTGGTAATATACTAATGCGCCTTAATAAGGTGAAATGCTGAAATGAAAATGCTGCCCGCAATATTTAATGCCGCATAACCCGAATAATCCCGTCGTTAGGATCTCTCTAATATTTGTAGTAACTTTGACACACACGCAATGTTGATGAAATATTTTAAACTAATATTATCAAAACTTCATGCTTACTACGCTACTTATTGATACCTGGGAGAAGTAGGGGCAGTCATTGGTAGGGATTATTCACAGCTGAGCTCATAGTCAACCTTTTTACATATTTTTTAATTTTCTACCACAACCTGCGGCTTTTCATGAAATTTACTATTGGTCGACTGTCCTCCCTAGATGCTTTTATTCACACATCCTATAATTGCATTTTGACTTCAGTACCCAATACGTCAGTTCCTCCTCTAACCATTACAACATTAAAACTTTGGAGGATGGAACGTTCTTCAGAACAGACATTACAAAAAGAAATTGACGATCTCCAAACAAATAAATATCAATCTCAGCTTGTTGAGAGAATTATGGACATGTGCAAGACGACTGAAAACTGCAGAAAAAATATGTACCACTTACGTTCAAGACCTCCTACGTCAAAGGTTAAAGGATCGCTAAACAATTCAACATACTTTTTTATAATAAAACTGATACGATACGAGAGACCTTATGTAGGCGAGACCAAAGCTTTTTTAGAATTAAGAATCAAGGAAGACGATCACTAGGAAACACAAAAATCCTGACCACTCTTGGACCTAAACACATGACATGAAGTGAACAGAAGACAAAACCATCTGCAAAAAATAACATTGGGGGAGGACGAAATTCAAAAACCATCGACCAAAACCCTATGTATTTTAACAGGGCTTTTTAGATATTAAGCATTGGATAGCATCAATGAAAAAATGTAATTTCAATTTACTCTGAAGTCAGCTCTGAACGCAGTCAAATATGACCTCAGCCATCTTGGTCACGTATAGAAATAATAAAGACAATGCAAGCGCAAAATATTTCATTTCATGAAAATTCATCATCATTTATACCCCATTCCTATTCTGTTACGTTTTTTACCTTATAAATAATTAACGCCTAAAATATAGAATAAATTAATTTAATAATCAGGTGTGATTTCAAGAAGAATGCTTGCACGCGTATATCATATTTTTTGATGCCGTTTTGTGCTGCAAACAGGAAATATACAGGATGGATCAAATAGGACCGTTAGTAAAGTGCATCAGAAGTTGTCACAATTACATTTCTGTCAGTGAAGTAAGTGAATATGCCGCCATTAAATAAAACTCGGAGTATTGAAATTTTAATTTTCATTGGATATGGACTACGCTAGAAAGAGTTTGTAACTTGTTTAACGCAAAATATCCAGAAGATATAAAGTGACAACAAGGAAATTATTTGTTTAGGTATTGAACATGTCCACCAATAACTTCGTGACTATACTAATCGGTTTAAAAAGCCTTTCAAATAATTGCTCAGAATATTTTTATTAATGTCCCTTATCTTTTATCTAATTCTAAATTTTCAATCATTGTGTGGTTGTTTGATTATGTTGAACTGATCCCTTTCTGCCAATTCACTGTTCGGGAAGTGCCGTATTTAAATGTTCTCGTACTCGTCGGACAAAATGGAGCCAGTTGAAACCAAATCCATCTATCTGGTATATCTGGCTGATTTGGATTTGGGAAAGAAGCTACGAGAGTAGGAATTAAGTTATTTTAAGGAAATTTAAAATATCGAGCTCCAGTAAAAGTTTGATTGAAGAAATAAGATGCAGTATTTTTTTTAACCATACCATTTAAACAAACATTCATCTTCTTTTAATACACGGAAAGCTGTGTATTGGCTAACATCATTATTTCAAACTACGTCAGAAGATGGACGATGGGGATTATCCTCAACTTTTAATAAAATGTTTAATCTTGTGTTTTCATTAGTTTTTGAACGATATGGATATCTCGCGTTAGAAAAAATTCAAACTTCTTCTTGACTTCCCGTTTTCTATCCATATGCAACTTTCTTTACTGATAGAAATGTTATTATGACAGTTTAAGAACTTTACTTGACTGTTGAGTTCAAAATTAAATTTTTGTATGCTACACGAATTAGGCGTGAAATTTGACATGGAATTCGAAAATAAGAAAATTGTGTTGCATTTTGCATGTTTTACATTTGCTGGAAAATATGCGCAAGAAAAAATTACGTACGAAATTCAAACTTGCAAAATGATTGACGTCGAAGAGCAACATTTTTTTAGCTAAAACAGTTTAAATATGCGTAAAGTAGCGCAGTTGCGGTGGCGCGAACTTTACGCAGATCATTGAGAATTAATATGTAAATCTAAAATCAAATTGAATTTTCCGTTTTGTACCTCCGAACAAGTTTTGAACCCAGATATATCGATTTAGGGGCCATATTTTTTCTTCTATAAACTGTTTAATGAAAACTTCTTTCTAAATTTCATAAAATGTGGCGTATATATAGTTGAATACTTACGCTCTAGGATCGACTTCGTTGCGATCGAGATGGGGCTCCAATTTACGAATTCGGATGTCGTACCCAGTTGTGTTATATAAAACCCTACAAAAGAAACGATTAGTCCAATAAAAATCGTTATGTTTAGAAAAACATGCTTGTGATTTTGAGGTTGCCAAAGTGTATTTCAAAAAGGTGAAGAGTGATAAAACCTCATTAGCGTACTACCGTTAATTACTTTTATTTATTTCAATTTTACAGCAAATTATTTTTTTTTGTTTTTGTTGTAAATGTTACCCCCGAGTTTCTTTCCTGAATAGATAGTTGATATTTTCTTTTTAACTTATCTTAACTTTTCCCATCAAAATGCAAAATATAGCTATTGTTTATTTCACTCCAAATTAGATCTTTAATATATTAGCATGCCACCAAAAATTTTGTTTTTTTTTTTAATACAACCACAAAAAGGTATTTGTAAGATGCAATAATTTTTTCATGCAATAAATTTTTCTGGAAGACTTTTCTTATCTTCATCTTCATTTTGGATGTTATGTGCCTATTTTCATTCTGTATTGATATTTCCATATATTAATTTGCATTTTCATCATTTTAAAAAGATTATTCCTTTATCCATTTTGAATAATAATAATATTCAAGATATACCACAGCTGTCACAGTTAAACAGAAGACGTTGGGTTGGCGTGTCAACAAGGCCAACTAAGTGACGATTTTATATTTGGCTATTCTGGCCTGTAAAAAATAGCTTCTTTGCCTTTCTTTTTATGAAATAATATAAGGCTTCCAATTTAGAAACATTTAACTTTCATATACTACGCTAATTCTAAACTATAACATTTATAATAAACCTTGTTGTTTCTTATATATTAAGCAATTAAATAAAACTGAACAAAATTTGTTTGGATAAACTGATTCTTGCTCGAATGAAATAAACTCCATTAGAATATTTTCTATCATTGGTTGGAATTTTTAACATGTTTTTCTTTATGGAAACCAATTATTTACTTAAACCAAATAAAAAAACTGCAGGACTTTTATTTGGTTTGATTGATTTGATAATTTCAGTTAAAGTTAACAGTTTCTTTTGAACAATGAGCCAACTTTTTCATTTAGTTTGTCATTATTATCATTATAGTAGCTGTGAGCCGAAAATTTTACTCACGATGTAATGTTGCTCATATTTTTCTCCACTTCAGTGGGTTTGAGCCCCATCACCATAACTAACTGCTTCTGTTCGTCGAGGACGTATACCTATTTAAGATAACTATGTTAAATTTTCTTCTTTTTTTCTTTTTAGCAAAGTCAAACTTACAAATATATTCACTATTGTGCTTTTCCCATCATCCGCGCCACGTCGGTCAGTAGCTTTAACGTCGAAACCGAACACTTTCCCGGCGTCCTTGGCGAAGTGTGCTATAGCTCTGATTTGACCGCTAATCGGGTCTATTGCGAAGCGCCCAGTGGTTTCATCGGACCGGCTCAAAATTTGATAACGGACCTCCCCATTTTGATCCATATCGGGATCCGTGGCCTGTAACGGAAATTATTTTCTTAATTGAGGTCCTCGTAAATAAGTTCAAGCCGAAAAACTGAATTTTTCAGTCACAACAAAATGGAAATAATGGCAACCTTCTCTATTATCACCAGTCATCGCGAAGATATTTATGAAAGCCTTTGAGAAGAAAGCATTTGACACCTTCCAGCAAAAAACTCTATACACCTTAACATACATTCTACCATTGAATTAGAAGCTAATAACAATGTCCTATTCTTAGACATTCTTATCCATGGAAAATCAGACCTATCATTGGATCATTCTGTTTGCTACTTGTGTACTTTATTAGGAGTCTTGGGCACTTTATTAGGGGCCTGAACCATTTCTCAGGAAATACTGATTTTAGAAAAAAAAAAGTTTATAAAAAAGTTTTAAGGTTTAAATGAAATCTCATTATTATTTTTTTTTATATATACAGGATGCAAGATAAATACTTGACAGACATTACTTACATTATGCTTGCCAAAAATAAAGGTAACTTATAGAAACTACTTATTCGAATTTTGTGTAGTTTCGAAAATTACAAACAAAATTATGTTCTAACTAAATATGGTCTTCCACGGCTTTAAACACATTTTTAGAAGACTTCCTTCTAACGATCTGCGAAGACTAGGTATTTTAAAATTATACAGTGCGTCTAAAATTCTTCTTGACGTGCCATCTCCATCAGTGGAGGTTGGATATCACAGTGGCAAATCTCTCTCTGTCTTCAGCAGATCTTATGAGCTCTTCGAAGTCCACGCCAGTCCACTGACGTATATTCCTCAGCCATGACAGTTTCTTCCGACCCAGCCCCCGCTTGCCTTCGATCTTTCCCTTGACGATGAGCTGTGCGTATCGGTATTTGTCGTTTATCAGGATGTGACCCAGGTATGCAGTCTTACGGACTTTCACAAGCTTGAATAGTTCTCGTTCAGTTCCCAGCCTGCGCAAAACTTCTTCGTTTGTGGTATTCGATGTCCATGGTATTTTAAGTATTCTGCGATATGTCCACATCTCGAAAGCTTTTAGTTTATTAATGGTTTGTGTCTTTAGTGTCCATGTTTCGACTCCGTACAAGAGAGTAGACCACACATAACATTTTGAAAGTCTTAAACGCAGCTCGAGGTGGATTCGTGAGTCGCATAGGAGCTTTCTGAGTGGTACAAAAGAGTTTCTGGATTGTTCTATTCTCGATCTTATTTCTATGTCTGGATCTAATTTGTTATCTATCCAGCATCCTAAGTATTGAAACTTGCCCACTTCTTCTAGTATGTTTCCATTTATTTGTATTGGTTGTGGGACATTCTTTAATTTTTTAATTACCATTACATTAGTTTTCTTAACGTTTATTTTCATATCGAACTCTTCGCAGGTATTGCTAACGCGGTCGAGGAGTCGCTGCAAACCCATATCCGATTCGGCGATTAGAATAGTATCGTCAGCGTATCTAATGCTGTTTATGTTCACGCCATTAACTTTGACTCCCTCTGAGATGTCTGCCAGGGCTCTTTCAAACATAAATTCTGAATAGAGCTTAAACAGCAAAGGGGACAAGACGCAGCCCTGTCTAACTCCCCTGCCAATCCCGATTTGCTCGGACTTGGATCCCTCTATTCTGATTCTAACGCTCTGGTTCCAATATAGGTTCTGTATTAGAGTATTGTCCTTTTCATCCAGGCCCACGCCACGAAGCGACTCCATGAGCAGATCGTGTCTCACTCTATCGAATGCTTTTTCGAAGTTTATGAAGCAGATGAAGATGTCTCGTTGTTGATCATAGCATTTTTGCGCTAGCACCATTCTTGTAGTTTTCCCTCTGTGGAGTCTAATAAACTGCAGTTTTTCTGTTCGTCGCTGTAAAATCTTTCACTTTCTTATGTAGGTTGAAATGGCCATGGCGTCCTTGAAATTCCTCTATTTCCGAGCATCTGTCTTCTATCCAATGTTTCTTAGCACGTTTTATTTTGGTGCGGATTATTCTGTTAAGATGTCTGTACTTATTCATGTCATTAGCGGCTTTACATTCCCTCCGTGAGTCCATCAGATTTAAGATTTCCCCTATCATCCAATCTCTCCTATTTCTTTTAGGAGTTGGTTTCAGATTTGCTTCAACGGCCCCATCTAAGACGTCTTTTATAGCTTTCCACGTGCTATCCACATCAGTGGTAAGGGCAAGGTCCCGAGAAACATTTGAGAGGTGCTCGTTTAGTTCTTGACTTACTTTTTGTTTTATTGTGACGTCCCTCAGAAGGTTTTGGCCTTTTAATGATTTTCCATTTTGGTCTCACTCTAGCTATAACAGGGCTGTGATCTGAGCCAATGTCGGCTCCCGGATAGGTTTTGACGTTAATAACTGAGTTGTGGAATCTTTTGTTTATAATAATAAAATCGATATGGTTTCGGACTGTCCTGGTATTCGTATGTTGTGGTGACGTCCATGTGTAGAGTCTGCGAGGGTGATGTTTGAACCAGGTATTTGTTACAGCCATGTTGTGTTGTTGGCAAAATTCAATGAGCCTTTCGCCCCTGTCATTTCTGTCGCCCAACCCAAACTCGCCAACCAAATCCGACACTCGCCCTTGAACTATCTTCGCATTAAAATCTCCCATGATGACTGTAAGATCTTGTTTCTTAGTAACTTTTATTAAAATTAAAGGATATTTTCTTTAAATTTCAACTTACCATATTAATTTTTTTAAAATGAGACGTCCATGTTTTTGAGATTTTTTCTCAAAGCGGGTTAAAATATCTAATTTGGTATGTATATGTATATGTATATATGTCCTATACCTAAATCTAATGGTTTTCGAAATACTAACACCTAATTATTTTAAAGAATTTTAAAAATGAACCATTTATTCTTATTTTTTAATTGTTTTTAGGGATTTTGTCAATGGGTGACGGGGCTTTTTTGTAGGTAAGGTAATACAGAGATTTATAGGTTTAGGAAATTAAAAAAAAAATAGGAATGAAATTTTTGTTATAATGCCAACGATGTAAAATAATACGGATAACTATGATTGAAGTTTAAAAATTTAAAACAAGTAAGAGTAACAAGTAAAAGCAACAAACAATAGTACCTGTAACAACTAAAGTAAAAACTAAGGTAAAAAAAACTATAAAATCTACAGTAGGTTTCCAACATGCCCACCATTTTGAATAACGCATGTTGTATGAACAACCTCTATATGGTTTATAGCATTAGTAACAAAATCGGTATTATTTAGTTAGACAACAGCTTCTCTAATACACCTTTGTAGTTCATTTACCGTAGTGCATCTTTCTTTATATGCCATATCCTTAATTGTTCGCCATAAAAAAGTCCAGTGGGGTAAGATCCGCTCTTCGAGGTGGCCACCAGATGTTTCCATTTTGTCCTATCCAAAGATAGTAATTTTGATTTAAAAATTCAGTGATATCGTTTCCCCGATGGTACGAAGCGCCATCTTTACATTCCTAAGCCGGTATTTCATTTACTATGAATGATTGTATTTAATTTTTGATCATTTTAAAAATATCGTCTAGAGTTTAAGTTTTCATTTAAAAAAAATTAGCCCTATTATCTCTGATCGGTATATTCAGCACCATACTCTCACAGATCATCTACTTTGTCGTTTGGCTTCCAACACCCTTTTCTTATTTTCATCACTCCAGTAATATGTGTTTTTCCGATTAAAAATTGGGGCTTTCGTATGAAAAATCGACTCATAGGTTGAATGAAATGAAATGAAGCTGAACTTTTCGAATTCAATAAAAAACATTCAAGCATATCTGTTTTTTCTTGCACCGTATACATTGTTAACTTAAGTAATAATATTGCACGATTAAAATTACATCTGTCAAACTCTGGCTCTTAATTATAACGTCACTTAAAACAGTAATATATTTGGTTACCACAGCCTACTAGGGTAAAAAGTAAGTTTCATAATAATATCATTACGCCTTTTAAAAACACGGGAGTTTTATACTATTAATAAAAACTTTATTTAAGTATGCCAAATCATTCGTTGAAACAATCATTAAAATTAAATAAAATATAAGAAAGATGCCATTATAATTTTTTTCAAAATAATTTGGTGTCAGTATGTTTCGCCAGCGAGTTTATTCCTAAAAAAATCGAAAACCATTAGATTTTGGTGTAGGACATATATATACCAAATAATAGGTATTTTGACCTGCTTTGAGAAAAAGTATCAAAAACATGGGGGTCTCATTTAAAAAAAAATGAATACTGCAAGTTGAAATTTTAAAAAAATGTCCATATTCATCGCAGATCGTTAGAAGGAAGTCTTCTCAAAAATTTAATAATATTTACCCAGAACATAATTTTGCATAAAAATATATAATCTCAATTTCTGTCTAAACTACACTACGAATAAGTAGTTTCTGTTGTCCTTCCTTATATTGGAAACATCACTGACCATATACAAAAAGTTCTTAAGAAACATAACGTCAAAACCAAGTTTACGACATGTCTAAAATCCCTCAACATCTTCGTCAATGACAAAATTCCGTTTAAGTTACCAGGACCTCTCAATATTCCATGCATATGCGACAAAGAATACATACGACTAGGCTCAAAGAAAGATCCTTAAGACTATGACCAATAACTTCAAAAATAAACACAAGTAGAAGTACACGAAAAAAATTGTAACAATAAATTAATCTAATCTTGTAAAGAAAAAAACATCAAACCTGAAACAAGAATTAAGATTATTAGTGAATTTCATTTCTACACTATCGATTCGGTCCACGTAATTGTAGTACATCGAACTCCAAACTGTTAACAAATACACCAGAACACCATAGTGCAATATAATGCAGTTAAAGATACTGGATTCTTAAATCCCTCTGTATTTCTCACAATACATCTCAGAGACGCTTCGGACTTATGCGTAAAACTTATCTTTGACCTGAAAGTAGTAATTATGCAGAGAGCACCTAAGAAACTCGAACATTACATCTACCAGTAGCAAAGTTCTCTCTTGAAGTAT